ATAAAAAACAGGCAGATTTCATACTTCAGAACCCCAAATATTATGAATCATATACAGAGTAGCCATAAGTATGTGCACAATTTAAAATTAAAATATAAAATTGCACACACACTTTATGGCTACCCTGTATATGTTTGAGAAAGGAGCAAAATGGCTTCCTAGAATGTTTAATAAATGAGGCCAGAAACTCAGTTCAAAAGTTAAAAAATTTTGAAGAGGCTGGGCTCTTCAAGTCAGACTTTTAATCTCTAACAAGGCCTGGCACAATGGCTCACACCTATAATTCTAGCATTCTGGAAGACTTTGAGGTGGGAGGATCCCGTGAGCTCAGGAGTTCAAGACCAGCCTGAGTAAGAGCAAGACCCTATCTCTACTAAAAATAGAAAAACTGGCTGGGCGTTGTAGTAGATGCCTATAGTCTCAGCTACTCAGGAGGCTGAGGCAGGAGGATTCCTCGAACCCCGGAGTTTGAGGTTGCTATGAGCTATGATACCACAGCTCTTTAGCCTGGGCAACAGAGGAGTCTTTGTTTCCTTAAAGAAAAAAAAAAAAAAGGCTTGGTGCTATTAGCTCAGTGAGTAGGGCACCAGCCACATACACCAAGGCTGGTGGGTTCCATCCTAGCCTGGGCCAGCTAAACAACAACAACTGCAAAAATAGCCAGGTGTTGTGGCAGGCGCCTGTAGTCCCAGCTACTCAGGAGACCGAGGCAAGAGAATCATTTAAGTCTAAGAGTTTGAGGTTACTGTGAGCTGTGACGCCACAGCACTCTACTAAGGGAACCATAGTGAGACTCTGTCTCAAAAAAAATTTTTTTTGAAGAATAAGACTTGCCTTTACCTAATCTGTGCTGTCTGTCTAATGTGGGTCTGATTACATATGGGAATAATGTAACTTCCTGATAAATATTACGTAATTATCAAATCTTCATTCAGGAATATCTCTGCTTGTCTTACTCCTGAGCAGTCCCTAAATAGTATATGATACTCACTTCACCAAGGAAGGATTCCTTACCTTTGAAATAATTCCCTGTAGGCCACGCGTGGCAGCTCATGCCTGTAATCCTGGTACTCTGGGAGGCGTAGGCAGGTGGATTGCTTGAGGTCACAAGTTCAAGACCAGCCTGAGGGCTCGGCACCTGTGGCTCAAGTAGCTAAGGCGCCAGCCACATACACCCAAGGTGGCGGGTTCTAATCCAGCCC